CATAAGATTAATGTTGACCCTTCATGGGAGAAGAGGACTTCCTGTCTCCTCCAGAGTATCTCTGTTAGACACCAGCTACTTGCACTATGAGAACGCTGTGATTGGTACGGTCTTATCCACACTTCATGCCGGAAGTGTTGTTCTAACATTGTTTCCCAATTACAATGTTAGCCTACGAGACCCCACTGTACCAGGGAGACTGAAAGTTCAAGTGCAGATCACCGGAGCTGCTCAGACTGCTGATGCTGTTTGTGCAACGCTTCACTACCAAATCATCTACAGGTTACAAACCCATGCGGTTAATCTAGCCCTACCCAGCAGCAATGATGGAGCCTTGTTTGTTTTAGCAAACCAGGCAGAAGAGAGTCCTTCGATTGTACAAGTTCCCAGGAATATTTCCAGAGAAAAACTGAAGGAACTCATCCCGTTACAATGGGTAACGAATTATGAAAATCTTCATAAAAACCATGGCCAGCCGATTCAGACGGATCAAGCAACTTTCAGAAGATCCGTAGATGGAAGAGTTACAACCATTTTTCAACAACCTGAAAAAACATCAGGATCATCCTCAGGTCCTATTTTCCAGACAATGATGTTGACCCCCTTTGTCAAAGAAAAAAGAATTCCAATCTTCGCTGTCCATCCAGACGGCAAAGAAATTTATACAGATCGGATCAATGGTCATTTCATCTGGGATGTCGCCCCAGAAATCTGCGATCCTGAATGCGATTGCTGGATGCACTCAGGAGATACCAGTGATGAAGAAGACCATGACTCACATAAGATACAAATTATTGTACACACTTATTACACACTAGTGGCAGACATAGTACGAAAAGTAGATTCCCATTATCAGCCTCTTTTGATGATGGGCTCGTGACTTGGAGAGAGGTTTGGATCTGATGTATCTGAATCAGAACAGCTGTCCATCATTAATTCAGCATAATAGTCATCTTCATCTTCATCTCCTAAGTCCTTAGCTGTCTGAAACTGTTCATTGGGTACATAATATTCAGTCCTGCTCATAAAGGTGTTAATTCCTTGGGAACTAGACTGAGTAGGAATGAAACGACTCTGTGAGGAACTGGCTCCTTCTTGACTGTCTCGATGAATCTTGGCTTCCTTCAGATGATTAATTAACTGTACTTTATAACTCTGATCTGGAGGATATGTTTCAAAAGTAGCCCAAAAATATGCTTCATTTTTTGACCATAATTGTCCAGTTGGTGTCTGGAAGTAAGGGCGACTGATAATGACTATTGAGGTTAAAGATTCACATTGTTCTTTGGTTTTTCCCCTTTGATTCATCTGGAAGTCAAGAATCTTTTTGAATTCACTTCGCCACCATGGAAGAGGCGAAAACCATTCTAATAGAGTCCAGAAATAATATTTGGCTTTGTCTGGATTCATGAGAATGTTGTAGGCTGATTGTGTCTTCAAAGCAATCGGAATTGGACTTTGAACAGTTTTGCACCAGATAGCCCAAAGAGTTGGTTCACATAGATCCCAACCTATTTCACAGAATAATTCAAATATGCCTGGATGTTCTTCTGTTGGATCAAACATGGTTGGAGGAACTATCTTAAACCGTAAAGTCTCATGGAGATAATAAAAATAATGGGCCTGTGCAAATTGAATAATTTCTTCAGGCCTGTTGGGGTTGAAGCCTGGAGGATATAGCTTCCTAGTCTTTGCGGTGTTAGGCAAAGGTTTTGCCATGAAAATTAATGGGAAGGTATAGGAAGATGAGATAACTAAGACTGGTTTTTGTGGTCTTGAAAGGAAATCAGGAATGAGGTTATGCTTGCCTTTGATGTGTTTGACAGTAAAATCATACCTGGAAAACCAATCTTTTAATCTCAAAATTTGGGGTTCAGGAGGCAGCTTGTTTTTGAAATCCAGAATCCTGGGAAATGAAGAGTTATCCATCTGAACTTCAAATTGATGTCCTCGCAAATGGAAATCAAATTTTTTGATTCCATTTTTTACGGCTAATGCTTCTTTGTAAGTGGTATGGTAGTGTTTTTCTGCATCTTTGAATTGTCCACTAGCATGCCCACAATAGAATTTTTTGCCGTCTACTTCTTCAATGAAAACAGCTCCCCAATAGTGATCACTTGCGTCTGTTTGAAGAATTCTTTTGCCATTTCCAGGAATCTTTAATGCAGGAGGATTTTGTGCAATCTTCTTTAACTCCTGAATAGCTCTGGTTTGATCTGGTCCCCATGGAGGGGAATCTTTCTTTAACAACTTCGAGAGAGGGCTTATGTATTTAGCAATTTTTGGAATAAAATCTCTGATATAGTTTATAATTCCAAGAAATTGCTGGATCTGTTTGACAGACAGATTTTCATCAGGAAAGTTGAGTAATTCTTCAGCAATGTGAGGTTGGGGTTGATAAGTTCCATCAGAGAACTTCATTCCTAGGAAATCAATTTCTCGTTGAGCTAACTGTATCTTCTTCTCTAAGAACATTATACCATACAAGGTTGCTCTCTCTAAGAACTGGCTCAAGAGCTTCTTGTGATCTTCCATATTTTTTGAGAATAAGAGGATATCATCTATATATATGATGATATTGTCTAGAAGTGGTTCAAGAATCCTAGTGATTGCTTTCTGGAACAAAGATGGAGCTACCTTTAAGCCAAAAGGTAGAACAGTCCATTGATATTGTGCATTGGGTATGCAGAAAGCTGTCTTGTGTCTTTCACTAGGTTCAACTCCTAACTGCCAGAATCCTGATTTAAGATCGAATTTAGAGAAAATTTTTGATCCTTTCAACAAGATAGGTAAAGTGGCAGTCTTGGGGTAGTGGAAACTTGTCATCTTTCAAGAAATGATTTAGCGGTTTATAATCAACCACTAATCTCTTCTTTCCTCTTAATCTTTCTGATCTTTTTTCCACATAAAAGGCTTGACACGCCCAATTTGATGTTGTTGGCTCTATGAGACCTTGTTTGAGAAGTTCTTGACATTCTTGTTTGGCCAACTTAAGATCAGATGGAGACATACCTGGGTGAGAGGCTTTTGTAGGATTGATATCCTCATTCAACTTAAATGGTAATTGTACAAAGAAATCAGGGTTCTTCCAGAGTGGGTTTGGATGGATGAAATCTTTATGAGAATCAGAGCATAAAGATTTTAATTGTATCTTGATCTGTTCTAATTCTGGAGGAACTTCAGAAAGAGAGTATAGCTTACTTGTTGAGACGAAGGGCTTAAATTCTCCTTTGAATCTGAGTCCCAATGGATGGATGAGTAGTCTGTGTGACTGAGTGAAAACATCCATTCCAATCAAGATATCTTTATTTGGTAATTTGGTTCCTACCACCTTGGACCAGATGATACAATCTCGGAAGAGACGGATTCCTATTGGTGCTCGTGAAGTGACTTCTGATTTGAAAATCTTTCCATCAGCTGCAATGAAAAAGGTTTCTTCCTTTTTCCAGAATTGTGATGGCAAGATTTCGGGATTCATCATAGTCTTAGAAGCACCTGTATCAAGAAATCCTATCACTTTGATAGGTTTCTCATACTTGGATGGTAGAATCTCAATTTCCACATTAGGATGTGAAGCAACAGCAGTTGTCATACTGTCATATTGATCAGCAGCAAAGATTGATATAGAATCTCCCTCTTTGCCATAGTCATCTGTATCACTGCTGGAGTCATCTGAGAAAGAATCTTGTAGAGCAAACACTGTATCTTCATCTGCCGAACTTTGCTCAGAATAAAGAGATTCTATTTCATCATCTTCAGTTAGATGTAAAGATGAAATCATCTTTGTGGCCTTCTGGGCTTTGTTTGGGCATGATTTTGCAAAATGACCCTTTTTGCCACAGATGTAACAACGTTGTCCTGGGTTTTTTCCCCGGAATGCTTTCTTCTTAAAGAACCTATAAGGTTTTTTGTATCTCTTCTTTTTTTTGAAAAAGGACCTGTACTTTTTGCCTGTAACATGTTTCTTTGGGCAATAGCATTGATCTTTGTCCTTGCACTTGATATTCAAGAAGGGTTTTCTGCAAGCTTTGGCATACTTTCCTCTGTCCTTCAACATATTGGAAAAATATTCATGTTGTCGGCAAAGCTTGTCTACAGCTTCTTGAGTCATTTGATGGATTCGACCCATGCTTAAAGCTGTAAAATCCTTATTCATAGCAGCAGCCATTCGGGCAAGTTCTGGTTGTATTTCTGAGGGAAGTGAGCTGACATATGTACTCTTTAGGCTGGGATCATTCTGACCATTGAGAAGATAGAATCTTTTAAGCATCCTTAAATAATGCTTATCAAGATCCTTCAGTTTTAGTGAACAGCATTTCATCTCAAAATATTCTTGTCTGGTCTTCCTGTCTATAAGAGCACCATCTCCAATGAATTCTTCATGGAGAGCGCCTAAGACAGCTGATGTGCTTCCCAGCTCATGGAATGTGTTTTGACCAACTGGCCCTAAACCAGCATACCATTCTTTTAGGAATCCAGTCATTCTGCACCCAAATTCTTCAATGATTTTGTAGGGTTCAGTATCTCCTCTCATGAATCTGGTGTCTAGCCAAGCTCCAAATTCAATTAGCCTTGTTCGCCATTGACTTGGGTCAACATCATCAAGGGTAAACCATGGTCCACTTGTTGGCTTGATAGTTCCGGGTTCCTGACTTGGTGATGCATTATCATCAGGAAACTCATATATTGGATCTGATCCTGCCATGAGAGCAGAGAGATCTGCTAATGGTGTTTCAGAGGAGGTGCTGCTAATACAATCTTCATCTACAGAATCTGTGTCTGATCTATAAGCATCATGTTTGACCATCATCTGAGTGTAAGGATCTTGAGAATCCTGAAAGTAATTGTCATGGTCTTTCCCAACATCACGTTTCTTTGGGGATGAAATAGGAGAGTCAGAGTCAGATTTGAACTCGTCTTTGGGTTTAGAGGGTTCATGTGAACTGGACTGTGACTTTTTCCATTGCCAGTGTGCAGAGGCAGTGGGAAGATTATGATAAGGCCGATCTGGCTTAGACCATGAAACAGAAGATGAAGCGCCTTGTAAACCACCTCCAAAGCCCAACAAGAAGTCAGGATCACAAAATGGAGCCAACAAAATTCAGCAAAGAAAAACAAAAGCTCGCTGGATTGGACTCCATCAGCCAAGGGATGATGAACCTGATTGGAAGTTAAAAAGATGTCAGGAAATTTTACAAGAAGCAGGATTCCCATCAAAAATCCCACTCTCAAGATGTTTTGATGAGGTGACGAAGCCTTCTCTACAAGCTTCTCAACCTTTAACTTGCTTTATGTTCTCTGAACCAAAGGATGATTTTCCTCCATTAGAAAGGAGAATTGATCCTAATACCCGATATTCAACTAAACCCACAGTCATTCCTG